CTCCCGATGGTCTCCGCTGATCCCGTCAACCAGTCCGAGCAGCGGGGTGGAGAGGTCTTGGAGCCGGATGATGGTCCAGCACCGGGTCAACAACCGGTAACAGAGATCTCACGAAACTGTGCAGAAAAGCAGCAGAACAGCAGAACAACAGAGTCTCCTGTGGAGACACACCCCTTCCTGGATCACTTCTTTGAAGCACATAGGATAAAAGAAGCCTTCCGTTACTCTGGGAGGACCCCATACAACAATTCAGTCCGACACGCCGGAGTCCCGTACACAACAGCTCTTCACACATGAAGCGGAAGTTAAGCCAAAGTAAAAGATCGCTGTAGCGCCACCTCAGGCCCTATTTATATGAGCGCCTTCCCTCAATGATAGGTCGTCCAATTACTCGGTGGCAGGTGACTCATCCCACTACAAAAGTATTTAGTCAGCCACCGATTGTGCAAGTTCTCCCACTTAAAATGATGACAGAGGTCAGTACTTTTCATCATAGGTACACTTTAACTGTGAGAGACAGAATGTGAAAAAAAAAATCCATGAATTCAAAAGGCAGGAGAATTTATTTGTAAATCAGGGTGGAAAATAAGTATTTGGTCAACAACAATTCATAACAAAAATTCAACTCAATACTTTGTAACATAACCTTTGTTGGCAATAACAGAGGTCAAACGATTACTATAGGTCTTTACCAGGTTTGCACACACAGTAGCTGGTATTTTGGCCCATTCCTCCATGCAGATCTTCTCGAGAGCAGTGATGTTTTGGGGCTGTCGCCGAGCAACACGGACTTTCAACTCCCCCCCACAGATTTTCTATGGGGTTGAGGTCTGGAGACTGGCTAGGCCACTCCAGGACTTTCAAATGCTTCTTACGGAGCCACTCCTTTGTTGTCCGGGCGGTGTGTTTGGGATCATTGTCGTGTTGGAAGACCCAGCCACGTTTCATCTTCAAAGCTCTCACTGATGGAAGGAGGTTTTGGCTCAGAATCTCACGATACATGGCCCCATTCATTCTGTCCTTAACACGGATCAGTCGTCCTGTCCCCTTAGCAGATAAACAGCCCCAAAGCATGATGTTCCCACCCCCATGCTTCACAGTAGGTATGGTGTTCTTGGGATGCAACTCAGTATTCTTCTTCCTCCAAACACGACGAGTTGAGTTTATACCAAAAAGTTCTACTTTGGTTTCATCTGACCACATGACATTCTCCCAATCCTCTGCTGTATCATCCATGTTCTCTCTGGCAAACTTCAGATGGGCCTGGCCATGCACTGGCTTCAGCAGCGGAACACGTCTGGCACTGCAGGATTTGATGCCCTGCCGTTGTAGTGTGTTACTGATGGTGACCTTTGTTACTGTGGTCCCAGCTCTCTGCAGGTCATTCACCAGGTCCCCCTGTGTGGTTCTGGGATTCTTGCTCTCCGTTCTCATGATCATTTTGACCCCACGGGATGAGATCTTGCGTGGAGCCCCAGATCGAGGGAGATTATCAGTGGTCTTGTATGTCTTCCATTTTCTGATAATTGCTCCCACAGTTGATTTTTTCACACCAAGCTGTTTGCCTATTGTAGATTCATTCTTCCCAGTCTGGTGCAGGTCTACAATTCTTTCCCTGGTGTCCTTCGAAAACTCTTTGGTCTTGGCCATAGTGGAGTTTGGAGTCTGAATGTTTGAGGCTGTGGACAGGTGTCTTTTATACAGATAATGAGTTCAAACAGGTGCCATTAATACAGGTAACAAGTGAAGGACAGAAAAGCTTCTTAAAGAATAGGTTACAGGTCTGTGAGAGCCAGAGATGTTCCTTGTTTGAAGTGACCAAATACTTATTTTCCACCCTGATTTACAAATAAATTCTTTAAAAATCCTGCCATGTGAATCCATGGATTTTTTTTCACATTCTGTCTCTCACAGTTCAAGTGTACCTATGATGTAAATTACTGACCTCTGTCATCATTTTAAGTGGGAGAACTTGCACAATCGGTGGCTGACTAAATACTTTTTTGCCCCACTGTATGTGCCTTTGATTTCACATATGATGTCCATGAATTTAAAAGATGCATTTTGATACCAAGAAAACACTTATTTTTTGAACGGGGGGAAATGTTATTTTAGGTGTTGTGTGAAAATAAGTCCAGGATTACAAATGCGCTTCACGAGAGTGACGTCATCAAACCAGACACGGAGAAAAACAGAGAGAAAGTGGCTGTAAGTTCAGCGAACCTCATCCTTCCTTCAGAAGGAAAGAACTACCATAGATAAGGCCATTTAGCTACACTAGGGGTGAGGAGTTTCTGTGGTGATGTCCAAAGGGTTCAAATGAAGGCAACTGGACTTCTTTGGTACCAAGGAGACTTATTCTTTCTACTGGAGGACAGTAAAGTTTAGCTTTTATGCAGTGTTCCCAGAGGCGGATCTTACCAGAGGTTTATCTGAGTGTCAAATGGTGCTGTTTTGCCCCAAACTCATCACTCAGGATGATCCTGTGTTCTAGTTTGTGAACCACCAACAGTAATAAAAATATTAAAGCTGCAAGCATCGTTGTTCGGCCCTCGCAGCTCCGCGCCGCTCCGGCCTGGCCGGCAGCCCTGGGCTCACAGGCACGTCCGCAGAACAGAAACGTCGACCACCCCGACACCAGAAACCGCGAACGGTCTCCTCGTCCACACCTCACCCTGTCTCAGCATCTCCTCTGAGCTCACCAATAAATTACACATCTCACCATTAGGGGATACTCTGCCTTTACCACACTGGTGGTGTGATGGCACAAACCAACTTAAATGCTTTTCTGACCACGTTTTTTGAAGTTATTGAAGGTTAAATTTCACTAGGGGGCACTTTTACTAACTACAGAAAAATCCCATTGAGGTCAACTATGGGTGACAAAGATGGTTTTCTGTTATTTTGGCATCAATCAGACATTTTATGTGTTATCTTGAGCCACTGAGCCGAAAGCTGGTGGAGCTAAAGGGGTTTGAACCAACAACCACATCAATGTGTTTGCTACAGTCACGTGATGACAAAAGCCAAGAATAATGCCATTCTGACCTTGTCTTTAGAAGTTAATAAAGTTTGAACCTATCTAGGGGGCGCTGTGACCATTTACCACTAAATCTCATAGAGGTCATCTTTGATCATCAAAGATGGTTTTCAGTTAATTTGGCATCAATCAAATGTTGCATGGATCATCTAGAGCCAAAAGGCTGTAAGTGGGTGGAGTTTAAGTGATTTGAATGAGTGAGCACATACATATGTTGATTGCAGTTGCGTGATGACTCCCACCGTGTTTGATATAGTTTGGAGCTATGTTGTAGAAGTTACAAAGGTTTTATTGTATCTAGACGGTGCTGTCCCAAATTTAGGAAAATATCCCATGGAGCAGTTTGTAGGTTGACAACAATCATTTGCGTGTGGTGTGAACTGCATTGTGCATGTGTTATTCAGGGCCTAATATCTGTCTGGGGGCAGAGCTAAAGAGATATCAACCAATGACCACAGAAATGTGTTGGGTGCCTTTGCTTGATGACACATAGCAAGTTTGGTGCAGTTGCGACCTTGTCTGTAGGAGTTATTACAGTTTGAAAGGTATGTAGGGGGCGCTGTGGTGATATTATACAATGTTCTGTCATGGTCTGCCTCTATCAGCAGGTGAGGTAACCTGGCTGTCAGCTGTTTGTGTTGCAGATGGGTGTGGCACGAGCTCCAGCTGATTCCTCTAATCAGAGGGCCAGGGGATTTAACCCCCAGAGACCCAAATTTAGAAAACAAGTGGAAAATATTTTTTTTAAACTTTCACATGTTGTTCTAGGAGGCCAGATAAACGGGCCTATTTACACATTTTAACAGCCAATAGTGTTGCAGAACTGAACAATAGGACCTATTAGCAATGTAAATGTGGTTTTAAAAAGAAAAAAAATGGGGAAGGTTTATTTTTGTAGACTTAAATCTGATGTTGTAATATTACAACCGTGGGTCTCTGGGGGTTAAGGAGCGGTGTGACACAACTCCAGTGCCGGTTGATACTCTCACCAGGTTTCGCGCCTCGCATCCTCGTACCACACCTGGAGTTGTTTTCCTCATCCCGTCGCTCGGGATCCTCTGACCTCCACTCTCCATTGCTCTGCCTGTCTGCCTGCCAACCTACACCCTGGACTCACACAACCTTCTCCTGTCCACCTCCTCTACAACCATCGGACCTGCCGCCTATCCTCCACTGAACTTTACCCAGTCCACCACCGCTAAGAACTGGTTTATGACGATTTCCGGTCCGTTCTTGTTCCTACTTTTCTGGAGCAGCACCATTAGTTTTTCCTTAGCTTCATTTAATAAAATATTTTACTCCTTATACTTAACTGGTTTTCACGCAATAAATGAGACAGGGAGAAAAATAGTATTTGATTTTCCAAGTTTTACAACTAGAAAGAATAGAGAGTTCTGTTTTTATCACAGTATGTTTATTTTATGCAATTATATGTAAATGCAGATTTTGCGTCTATTTAAAATCAAACAATCAGATTTTCTGCATTTCTTGCAGAAAAACATTTTTTCTCTCACAGGCAAGGTTTACCTACCGTTGTTTGTGGGTGGGGAAACCTGAAGAATCACTTATTTTCCCCAACGTAGAGAAACCACTAAGGTGGTGATTTTCATGTCACAATAAAAGCTCAGAGCTGTTTTGTTTTTATGAAAATCTCAGCCATGTCATTCTGACACCAGCACCATGATGGTTCAAATGCAGCTTTGCTTAACGACTCAAGACTCAAGAATGTCACAACATCTGTAGTTTTCTACATTAAACGAGACAAAATCAGGTAAACTTTCTGTAGAAAATAGGAACCTGAAATGAATTCTTCCTGGGTTTGATGTTGACAAAGTATTTGACTGTGATGAAGTAACCAGAGATTTTGTTTATGCAGATGCAAATGTTTCATCCTTCATCTGTGTGAAAGGAAAAATATAAAGTCCTAGACTCAAAGGAGCTGAACACAGACTGAAGCAGGATGGAGAAGATCGTCTTCAGAGTGATCATCGTTGCAGGTGTATGCTGTCTGTCTACCAAACACGTCCATATCCAACGTTCTCTTACTTGGGCTGATGCTCGAAAGTTCTGCCAAGCTAACTTCATCAACCTTTCACCTCTCACCAGTCAGCTGGAGGAGCAGGTGTTCAGAGACACAGTGGGTGAAGAAGGCATTAGAGGATGGATCGGTCTCTACTGGGATCAAGTCAACAGCTCATGGAAATGGTCAGGAGGTGACATTTTCAGTTCTTGGACAGATATCTACAAAGACATTAATTCTGATGATAAACTACCTGCAAACAATCTACCTACAGCCAATAACATTTGGTGGACCAGAAACAAATGGATTTCTCTAGATGGTACTTCCACCCATTGGTTTTTCTGTTTGAACCTGACTGTAGTCCAGCAGGAGAAGACCTGGGAGGAGGCTCTGGAGCATTGCAATGAGAACCACTCCAACTTCACCAGCCTGCTCTCTAAGACTGAGAACCTTCTGGCTATGAATGAGATCAATAAAACTGGCATCAATGAGCGGGTGTGGATCGGTCTGCGTTACCTTGGAGACAGATGGCTGTGGCTGAACGGTGACCCTCTGGTGTACCAGGCTTGGTCCCAAGGAGGAGACCAGGACCAGCTGTGTCCAGTGACGAGACGCTGTGGAGCTTTAACCAAAAACGGAACGTGGGAGAACCGGGACTGTCAGGAGAAACTCCCCTTCATCTGTGCCTGAGTGTCTCCAGCTGCTGACTCTCATCCTGAGTGTGAACTTAAACCTCCATCTGTTGTTCGCCTTCTCAATAAGCTTCCTGACTCTAAAATAACAGCATGTGTGGATTTTAGCTTAAAACTTTAATTACAGCGGTTGTAGTAGATCCTGTACTCACTAATAAACTCCACGTAAGTGTGTGTGAGCACTGATTTAAAATTTCTGCTTTTTGTTTCACATTTATAAACTCTTTCAGATTTACAAACTTAACTTTTAGTAATAAATCATTTAATTGTTATTTAATACTGAAATGTGAGTTTCAATTAAACAGTGACTGAATATTTACTGGGTTACTTATCATTATTAGTAATAAATATTGACATTTTAACCTGTATTTTATACAGATGAAATAAAGTAAATCAGTTGATTCAAGAATGTTTCTGTCATGTTCTGTGTCCCTTTGTTCCCCAGCCCCCTCCTGTTTTCACTCCAGGCTCTCCTCTTGTGTCCTCACTGCCTGGTTTTCCTAGTTGTCTTTAGACTAGTCCTCCTCACCCATCTGGTTATTAGTGGTTTATATTTGCCCTCTCTCTTTTAGGTTTAGTTAAATCCATGTTTTATAGGTTAATGTCTGTGAAGGTTCTCAGTCATCCAGGTCATTGTAGTCTAATGAGCTTGAAAGAAAAGCGTCTGGACTTCTTTGAGTTGCTTGAAGACGTTTCACCTCTCATCCGAGAGGCTTCTTCAGTTCTGAGGTCAAATGGTGGAGAGTCCCAGATTTAAACCCCGTGGGAGTTTCCACCCGAAGAGGGAACAAAAGACTCCCTGATGATCTTCTATGAGCCAAGGTGTGAGGGTGGGTGTGGGGAAACTCTGGCTGAATAGGACCCACACCCACCCGAGGAGAAAATGAGACGCCGTTCCCTGGGCCTTTGCCTCTATTGTGGTCAGCTTGGCCCCTTAATCCATAACTGTCCTGTTCGGTCAAAAACTCAAAGCCCACCAGTAGGACCGGGATTACTGGTGGGTGGGATTGCTAGTGCTCAAAATTCCCGGTGCAGCTTAACTTGTACTGTTTCTTTCCACCAACAAACATTCCCTACCAAGGCGCTCGTGGACTCAGGGTGTGAAAGGAACATCCTGGACCAAGCGGTGGTACAACAACTGAACATTCCTACTACTCCTCTCCTTACACCCATTCACGCCGCCTCATTCGATGGCTGCGCCCTAACCACCATAACCCATCGCACCATGCCCATAAGCCTGTTGATCTCCGGTAACCATCATGAGACTCTAAGCTTTTATGTGTTTCCTTCTCCACAGTCTCCAGTGGTGCTAGGACCTGAATGGTTGGCTTCACATAACCCTCAGATTGACTGGAAAACCGGGTCGGTGTCAGTTTGGAGCCCGTTTTGTTTGTCTCACTGTCTCCTCTCAGCTCCTCTCCCCGTCCAGATCACATAGAACCCAGCTCAGGAACCACCTGATCTAACTGGAGTTCCCTCCGAGTACCACAACCTGCTACAAGTCTTCAGCAAGGACCGGGCGTCCTCCCTGCCTCCTCATCGCCCCATGACTGCGGAATTGACCTCGTCCTCGATGTCATTATACCAACAAGTAAACTGTACAAACTTTCAAAACCAGAGCAAGAGTGTATGTCTGAATACATTTCAGAGTCCCTAGCCTCAGGAACCATTAGGCCGTCCACGTCCCCCCTGGGTGCTGTCCCCCCTGGGTGCTGGGTTCTTCTTCATGTCCAAGAAGGATGGGTCGCTCTGTCCGTGCATCGACTACAGAGGCCTCAACCAGATCAGCAAATATGCTCTGCCCTTGCTGTCCTCTACTTTTGAACCGGTAAATGATGCAACTATTTTCACCAAACTAGACCTGCGAAACGCCTACCATCTGGTAAGGATCCGTGAAGGGGACAAGCGGAAAACGGCCTTCAGGACACCACTTGGCCACTTCGAATACCTAGTCATGCCTTTTGGACTCACCAACGCTACTGCAGTTTTTCAATTTCTGGTCAACTCCGTATTAGGTGACTATATCAAAAATTTCGTTACAGTTTACCTGGACGATATACTTATCTTTTCCAGAACCCTTCCAGAACACCGACAACACGTCCGAGCGGTCCTCCAACGCCTCCTCGAGAACCGATTGTTCGTTAAGGCAGAAAAGTGTGTTCCATGCCTCCTCCGTCAAGTTTTTAGGGTTTGTTCTAGAGAGTAGTCGGCTGAGGACGGCCCCTGACAAGGTAGATGCCGTTCAGACATGGCCAACCCCCTCAACACGTAAGCAACTACAATGATTTCTAGGCTTTGCTAACTTTTACCGCCATTTTATTAGAAACTACAGCCAGATCGCCGCACCTCTCACACAGCTAACCTCCATCAAGAAGCCCTTTTCATGCTTCCAGGAAGCAGACCAGGCTTTTCACTCTCTTAAGAACTGTTTCACCCAAGCACCCAGAGGTTAACTTGGATAAAACCAGTTCCACTAGGCTTCACCAAATGAGACTTTTATCTCCAGATGAGTCTTTTATCCGTGACAGCAGAAATATCAAAACATCAAACCAGATTCATTGACAGATGTTTCTTTTGTATGAGGTGATTTCATTGTTGTGGTGTTTTGTGCAGCTTATGACCAGTTATTAATCTTTCTTGTGTGCTTGAGAGAAAACAGGGTTGCTAACAACATTTCTGGTTTGGTTCAAGTTTACAGTAGGTCTCTAATTTCCCTCTGGGATTAATAAAGTATCTTTGAATTGAATTGAATTGAATTGAACTGAATGTCCCTTGAGTTTTGTTTCTACATTAATTTAATTTGTTTCTGTAGTTAAGTTTAGGTGTTGATTTGAGGTGGACGTTTGCCACTCTTATGGGACCCCTTGTGTAGTTAATACTTTATTTTTATTGGTTTCAATGCTTTGTCTTTCACAATACTCTCTTTTCAAAGAGATTTGTTTTTGAGCAAATTATATTTGACTTTTCTGAAGTAACCACGGATCTTGTTTGTATGAATGCAAATGTTTCCTCCATCATCTCTGTGTGAGAGGAAGAAAATAAAGTCCCAGACTCCAAGCTGAACACTGAACTCACACTGAAGCAGGATGGAGAAGGTCATCTTCAGAGTGATCATCATAACGGGTGTATGCTGTTTGTCTGCTAAACACGTCTTTATCCAAGAATACAGCCTTTCTTGGGCTGATGCTCGAGCATCAGGGGCGGCGTTAGGCCCGGCTACTTGGGCTGAAGCCCCGGATGTTTTATGAAAAGCCCCGGATCTAAATCGCGGAAGTAACATGCAGTACCAAAGTCCAACAGAGAGGGAGCAGCTGGCAGTAGTTTGTAAACAGCCTGCCTGAGCCTCCACCACTGAAGAAGCCTTTCAGCAGCAGGCTTCTTCTACAGTCTCTGCCTGAAACGCATGAGTGAAGATGGACATAAGGACATTTTTTAGACCAAAAGTACAACGACAGAACCCCAGCTTTGATGAGAGTGGTGTTGACTCAGGTTTGTGGGTCTTATTTGAAAATATTTGTTGTGCTGCTGGTTTGCCTAAAGTTAGCTTACTATCAGGTAACGTTGTTGGAGAAAGAAAGGGAATATTTACTATCATCTCACACTAAACACTAACAGGAACAATACTCTGCCCTGAATATGCTTAATATGTAGCTTTAGATTAAAAATTATGTGGTACAAGCCAAATATATATGATGTTGACTAGTGCGTGTCACGTGTGTGTGCGCGCGCGTGTGTGTGCGCGTGCGTGTGTGTGTGTGTTAAGCCCAAGCCCCCACAATGCCGCTCAGAAAATGGTCCCAACCCGGAAGTAAGAAAAATTGCAGTTCCACTCTCATCCGCTGGGGGCTGGTACCAGAAGCGAGCAAATCCTCATTGACTCCCATGTTAAAAATGCCATTTTCACAGCAGAAATAAACATGCTTACAGCCTGGTTCAAAAAATGGTTTTTTGTCTAAATTATCTAGTTTATACTCATGACAACTCTGAGGGGGGTGAATTTTTTTCTCACTCTTCTGTTTAAGTGTATTGAAAGCCTAAAATTCTGTATAATTAATGAGCATCCGACACACGTGACCGCCGCCTCAGACCCACGTGACCACAGAGCTAGCTCCGTGGAAAGGCCTCAGTACAGCCTCGGTCTCTCCTGGAAACTGTGTCGGGATTTTGAGTCTCTGTTCTTGTGAATTCTGTTTTGGATAATATTGGTGCAATTGTTGGACAAAATGACTTGCTGTGGTATTAATTGCACTAATAGAGCGTCCAAGGAGTCTCCACTTCATTTTTTTCGGTAAGTTAAAATCTATATTTGTATTTTATGTCACTGCTGCCTTTAAACTAGCTGAGTTTACCGAAGTAGCTAGCTAACTATCAGTTTAACATGTAGCATGTACTGTTTAACCATGAAATTTAAATGTAAAATACGGTAAAATAATTAATAGGGCATATTTAAATGGGTAATAGGGTAAAACCCAGTGCATTTAAGATAAAAATGGGTTGAAATATGACGGGGCGCGCCGCTTGGGGGGACACTTCTGTACTCTATTCTTTCATCCGGTAATCCCCAGCGGTCAGGCCGGGCAGGCTGATCGATGCGGCGCCTCGCTGCTGCGGGCTGACCGCTCGTGGAACTCGGAGACAGATCTGACCGGAGAAATACTGCAGCTCGTTGAGAAGTCTATAGGGCATACAGCGTTTCCCTTAAATCCCACTGCCACGCCGACAAGATCCCAAGTTTCTTTGTTTTTGTTGGCGCTGTTTACCGAAGAAGCAGCGGGAATACCAGCAACTTTAATCAGACTCGTAAAGTTAGTTTTTGCAGGGGACCCCCTGTATTTTACTGCTCCCTCCTGCAGTCTTCCCCTATTAAAATTTAAAATGTGTAACTTCATGTATTGTGATGAATGACTAATATTCATGTTAACTAAAACGTTAGGTATTTAGGGGGAAAAAACAAAATAATAAACATTATACAGATGTCAAATAAATCAAACTGTAATTAAACTATATATTTTCAAAGTCTTGATTCTGGATAAAATCCAACAACATATGCTTTATAAATAAACACTACGCATGGATTTTACACACACACACACACACACACACGTTACATTGTGATTTCTTAGTAAATATTCTATTTGGCGAGAGATAAACTTTATTGTATTTATCCTAGTGAATCTATAATTAAACGGGTAAACTAGCAGTAGTACATCCAACATCAAAGAAAGTAAAATGTTATTATCAGGAGAGGGAGAATGATTAAGTGGTTAGCAGCAGTGTGCTAGACGATGGCCCCCTCCATGAGGCCACCACAGCTCAGCAGAACATCATTGTAGCTTCTTCTGGGGAGAAAAACACTTACAGAAAAAATAAAGTTAACAGCTGAAATAGCAGGAAATAATACAGTTAAAGAGCAGATTGTAGAAGAAAGAAACCCCTGGGTTAAACTGGTCTGTCTACTGCATAATGCTGAACTCTAACATGTGTCCTCAGGGAAGGACCTGATTGGTGTCCAGAACCTGCTGAAGAAGCACGAGGCTCTGCAGGCTGAGATCACAGGTCATGAACCTCGCATCAAGGCTGTCACCCAGAAAGGAGAGACCATAATGGAGGAAGGTAGAGCAGGTCTGGTCCTGACATGTTTCTGAGGTGTCTGCAGGTTCTGGCTCACTTTGTTTGGGTCCAGGTCACTTCGCTGGTTCAGAACCCTCGGCCCGTCAGAACATTCTTATCCACCACGTTCTAACACCAGACCTGTTAACCCGACAGCAACAAGTGGCTCCAACTGACGATGAGACCGGGAAGGAGCTGGTTCTGGCTCTGTACGACTACCAGGAGAAGAGTCCTGGAGAGGTCACCATGAAGAAGGGCGACATCCTCACGCTGCTCAACAGCACCAACAACGTTCGTGTGCCCTTCACAGCCGAGGAACGACCTCCAGCTCAGAGCGAACATCTCCACACCTGCTTTGTGTTTGTGTGACTTTAGGTTGTTTTACTTGAACTCGCGTCTTTAGCTGAATGAGGATGGAGAGACGGGTCGGACCTGGAGCAGGTCGAGGTCTTGCAGAAGAAGTTTGACGACTTCCAGAAGGTCGGACTTTTCCTCCTCTCCGTCTTCCAGCAGCAGCTGTCAGATCAGCTCAGGTGATAATCAGCAGGTGCTTTTGTCCTGCAGGACCTGAAGGCCAACGAGTCCCGCCTGAGGGACATCAACAAGGTGGCATCTGAACTGGAGTCAGAAGGTCTGATGGCTGAGGAGGCTCCTATGGTTCAGGCTCAGGTGAGCGTCACCTGTCTGCAGCAGCTGGTCCCTCTCACTTCCTGGTTTGTTAACTCTGCTCGTCTCTGTTTGTAGCAACAAGAACATCTGGGTTCTGCTCCTGGAAAGGTGCGTGTTGTCCTCCGCCTCCACCAGAACCAGACGTGGTGTTTTTGTTACCACTCATTTGTTTGTTTACAGGATGAAGCCGACTCTAACCCCGGCTTTCCACAGGAGCCGTCAGCAGCACGTTACTGCAGCAGCACGTCATAGCTGCTGATAGGAACCGCTGTGGTCAACAGAACCTTTTCCACCGGAGCCGTCAGCAGCGCGAGTCGGCCACGTCTCAGGAGCAGCATGTCGCGGCCTTTACGCGCCGGTTCTATTTTCTACGCGCGACGCCTCTGAAACGGGTCAAGTTCGACATTTTTGGGGAACGAAAGACAGGAAATCGGACGCGGAAATTGAGAGAAGCTACCGAGATTTTCAGAATAAAGAACGTACTGCCTTCCGGTTGCTTTACTTTTAAAAAAGGTTACTAACTGAGTGGTCCCGTGAGAAGTTTTCACCTAGCTAGCGGTCTCCTTTGTTTTTCAGGTCCGTATTGGCGATTATAAAACGGACAGAACATAAAACACAAACCATGTTGTAATTTTCTCCTGCTTGTTGTTGTGTTTACTGATGAAGTCACTCGAGTGACTTTGTGCTCGGTCGGTGACAGCTGCTCCCCTGCTGCTTCGCGTCTCGTGGGAAGGGCCGAGCAGCAGCTTACGCGAGCAAGACGTGCTGCTGCAGTAACGTGATGCTGACGGCTCCCGTGGAAACCCGGGGTAACACGGCGTCACCCTAGAAGGTGAGTTCATTCAGCTGATCAGAGGTCACCTCTGATGGCCGCAGTCACGGCCGACCGTGCTGACATCACACAGGAATTCAGGTGACCCGGCAGGCACCAGGTGCTGGTGAAAGTGGGGACATGTCAGCTGGTTGCCATGGCTACAGTTATCTTTATGCATCTGTATGACTGCTGACTGGTGTGTGTTTCCTGTGACCTTTGACCTCAGACCGTACGGTTGGGCATTCAGACGACGGCTAACTTTAATTCCATCAAGGTAAGAGGAAGCTCTTCCCTTCCTGTCTGAGCGATCCGTCTCCAGGTTTCCTCGTCCGGCGTCCAGCCCGCTGGCGTCCACCTTCATTTCACTGGGTTTGGTTTCTCTCCAGGAGCTGAACAACCGCTGGCGCTCGCTGCAACATGCTGGGCAGCGCCCATGAGGTGTAGCGCTTCCACAGGTACCCCGCACACTTATGCGCCGCTTACGGGTCAGTAGAGTTTGGACCCACACTCAGACGGAGTTCTGATGTCTTCTCAGAGACGCTGATGAGACCAAAGAGTGGATCGAGGAGAAGAACCAGGCCCTGAACACAGACAACTACGGCCACCACCTGGCCAGCGTTCAGGCTCTGCAGCGTGAACATGAAGGCTTTGAGCGTGACCTGGCAGCTCTGGGTGATAAGGTCCGCTTTCCTGATCGGTACCAGGACCCGAGTTGTCTCTGGAGACACGTTCTTCATGGTTCTGGTGACTCCACCCCAGCCGTTCCTGATCAGCGATCAGCGGGGTGCTTTCCTATTTAAGGTGGATGGAGGACAAAATTTGACGCCAGAAGATTGCCTCAGTTTTGGTAGTAACCAGCCACTCGTGTTACCTCTAGTGTTCCTAGGATTAATGTTATTTCATAGTGTTTTTGCTCTTATATTGGATTTACCATTCTTCAGGATTCCTGTCGACCTCATTGGATACTGACCTCTACTCCAGGATTTGGATATTCAACACACGGACCTTATCACCACCCTCCATAACCCACCTCTCATCTCACCCGTTGCCCCATCCACCAGGACGCCCCGCTTCTCTCCACCTCTGCTCCCTCTCCTGCGCTTCCCCCGGCTCTCTACCTCTCCCTCCTCCAGCCAACACATACACCCACCACAGTAAGTCTGCTGAACACCTCTGCCTGCCTACAATGGATTTTGAAACCAGAACCTAAGCTCACCTGTGTTCTCCCTCCTCCAGATGCTGAGCTGTTGTTGCAGTTCCAACCACAGACTTATCTGTGCACCTTAAGTTCCTCCTTATAAATAAATCATTTTTTCCATCAGTTTTTGGTCAGTGTTGTATTCTGCATGTCTTGGGTTAAGTACCTTCCTCCAAACATGACACTCCTCTTCAAAGAGCAAATCTGTTCAGCACATTCTGACAGACAGACCACCATTCTTCTGTCATGATGCTGTACAGGACATTTTTAGAGTTTTTCTTTTTAAATATAAATAGGATTACATTTAAATAGCAATACTTTCACATTATCATTTTCCCACACTTCTGTATAACTGTATTTTGTTGTTTTTCAATAAAGAATGACAAACTATTTAAGTTTGGATTTGTTGCACACAAATATATATCTGTAAAAAATATCTACAAAGCTAATGTATACATAACAAGTATGATTGGGTTTTGCAATACGGCACTATTTTAGTAAGAGTTTTAAACCAAGTAAAGTTAGTAAAGAACACATTTCTATTGTCTGCTAAGAAACTGTTGGGATTTAAAATGGGCCTGTTGTACAAATAACTTGTAAATGATTATTCCTCACTTTTGTCTTAACCAAAGAAATTCCAGTAATTGAGCAAAAACATTTATTTTTAACACTACATTTTATAAAACAGGGCGCAAAGTGTCGGCACATGTATGTATGTCGATGGTCCACCCCAACCGAACCAGGAGACACAGACGTCAGGGAGGCCAAGGTTGTCTCTGCAGCTCTCTGGGCACCACGCCTCACTCAGCTGTCTCCAATGATCCAAATGGCTATGGAGAAAAAATAACAGGTTTGTCATAATTGTTTAAAGTACAAAACCATACATGAAGTGGTGAGACAGGTATGTGAAACTTACACTTGCTGCTTTGTGTAGCTGATGTTGGAGACACACAGGCTGCCATGGTGACCTTTTAACAGATCTAAGAAAAAAATGAAAATTAAAAACTCCCAGACCTCATGTCATATTTACTAATCAGCTATGGCTGATTTATTGTTTGGATCACAGTGAGTTACACTAATTCTAATATATTTTTATTTCTATTATACATACATACTTTTTAACTGTTATTTTCACGACTGTTATCAGGCTCTCTTGTTCTGGTTCTGATGATAATTCCGTGTCTTCCAGTAAGTTATCTTGTGCTTACTTCATCTGTAGAATGTCTCTTTACTTTTGGTAAATTGTACTGAGTCCAGAATAAAGGCTAGTTGGCTGTACAAGATACAAACAAGTATAACATTTTGGAAATATATGAAATGTATTTACGCTGCTAATTTAGCTCGAATACTAATAACTGCAATATTTTCCGGACTATAACTCGCACTTTTTTACATTTTCTGGCAGGTCCTGCTACTTATACTCCGGAGCGACTTATATAACAAAATATGTAGGCTACACCACGCTGCTGCGGGCCGACTCCGACCCACACAAGAATGAGTTCCCCTGTCCCGCTGGGAGGGTTTCAAACACCGCCAGCATCTGTTAGAGCCTGTGGCGGGGTGCTGAGGGCCGGCTCCAGCCCAGGAATGAGCTGTCCTCGCCGGCCGGGAGGGTTTGAAACACCGCCATCCTCTCCTCTGCTGGCTGTTGTTCATTCTGTTATGGTTACCGGTAGAGCCCTGCACGGGCCTAAAATCTGAGCCCGTGTCCGGCCCGGCCCGAGGGGGTGGAGCCCCAGCCCGACCCGGCCCGAAAAGGTTTTCAGGATTCTCTGGCCCGGCCCGAGCCCAAGCCCGACTTTTTTTAACCAACTAAATGAAAACAAAGTGCGTCAATCCTGACCAATGTGTTAAAAGATGTGCAGGATCCGAGCGTCGCAGAAGCGCATGCGGGAAGCTTCCCACTGAAGCGAGTGTTTTCCAAACCCGGTCTCTCAGAGAGACTTGTCACTTAGAAAATGTTCCCTGATTATGAAACTTTGGCTGAATAGTGCTTGTTCCTGTCTCCAATGTGCGACACATCCAGGAGCCGTCTGAGGAGAATCCCAGAATCTCACATCCTCTTCAGCTCATGAGCGCATATGATTACGCACAAGCGTGACCCAACACGGTCTCACAGTAAGACTGGGTTGGAACTGTTCAGGTTTACGCAGACAATCTTCACATAGAATTGACTTACAGATATAAAATTAATTCAGTAAAATATAAAGCATTTTATTTAAATACCCATTCATTATTTTACAAGCACATCGGCAGATGGATGGAAGAGCCGCGGGTTGCCGATCCCTGCTCTAGTTCAAGATATCATTAAAATTCCAAAAGTGCTGAAAAGATTAAAAATGGGGCTTTCCGTGCATATACAATACATTACAGTATCCACCGGGATTTCCTGTCTTGAGCGCAACGAATCACAACACAGATTCAGAGACGTGCGAGTTTGTCATCCAAAATGCTCCGTTTTATAACTTTTGAATGGTTGATCAGATTCAAATAATTCCAATGGTTCCTAAAAGTACATAAAAGCAGCTTTCCAACGGTCTATAGCATGAAGCAATCAGAGTTAGAGAAAATATCGCTACGAGGGGAAATCCTGCTGTACAGCCTGATTGAAACGGAGCGCAGCACTGCTGTGAAAGCGGATAACCTATAAAATGACATGTTGAGGACGCAAACTCAATACATCTCTTTTATTGTGAGGTAATAATTTCTCCGAGTTTTGCGGTTGCGGGCGGGAGTAGACATGCACGCTGCAGGTGTGGGCGGGAGTAGACGTGCACGCTGCAGGTGCGGGCGGGAGTAGACACGCTGCAGGTGCGGGCGGGAGTAGACATGCACGCTGCAGGTGCGGGCGGGAGTGTAACACACACGTTGCGGTTGCAGGCTGTAATGGTCAGAAATTCAGCGGGAGCGGAGCGGGATGAAGAAAACAGTCCCGCACAGGGCTCTACTGCTGCGTTTAAGTGTTTTAATTTTTTTAATGATTTCGAATAAAAATAAAGGCGCCCGGCCCGGCCCGTGTCCGAGGTAATTACACAGTCGTTGGCCCGAAGCCCGCCCGAGGGCCGTCGGGCCGGGCCGACCCGAGGGCCTAGGGCTTCAGTGCAGGGCTCTAGTTACCGGTGCTTGTGTTGCAATGTGAAACGCTTGGTCTCAGATTTTGTAAGAAGGATAATAAAATGTCCCCCCAAAATACGACTTAAATATATTTTCTCTTATTCATGATACATTTAATGGCTGGTGCGACTCAGGAGTGATAGCGCCGAAAAAAACTGTACTGAAAACTTGCTCAAAGCAAAATGTTTTCATTACGGAAATAAATTATAAACTTACCGATTTAAAACTTTTTTAATACAGGTACTTCTCACGAACAGGCGCAGAAAACCTCCACCTAAACTCCGTGTAAGGTTCAGGTCGATGGGTGTTCCAGTTAGCTCCGGTTGGGTTGAAGCTAGGTGGCTACATCCGTTAGCTCGGCTCCCACCTCCGCTTTAGCTTTGGGTTAGCCAGGGTTAGCTTCAGGTTAGCTCGTAGCTAGTTCGCCTGGGTGTCGTCACTCGAGCCCAGCCTTACAGCCACACCCTCAGCGCCTCCTCTCTTCCCTTTTATGGAATTGTCTGGGCTGGACGGAACCTGTGACACGGTCAAAATGGCGGTGGTGGCCACCTCCCATTATAGACAACAAACGTGTTATTGAAGCCAATGGAATCCGTTTGTCCAGTATATGTACAGTCTATGGTTAAGCCCCGGATCTTCTTCAGTCATAAATCCGCCCCTGTCGAGCATACTGCAAAGCCAAACACACCAACCTTTCACCTCTCACCAGTCAGCTGGAGGAGCAGGTGTTCAGAGACATGGTGGGTGAAGAAGGCATTGGAGGATGGATCAGTCTCTACTGGGATCAAGAAATCAGAAGGTGGAAATGGTCAGATGGAGACAATGTCACCTATGTTAACAATCTGGACTTACCAGATATAGAAGGTTCTTCTACTCGACCACACAGTATTGAAAATGTCCGTTGGACCAGAAGTCAATGGGAATGGAAAAATGGTACTGATCTTCGTAGATTTTTCTGTTTGAACTTTACTCTGGTCCAGGAGAAGAAGACCTGGGAGAAGGCTCTGGAGCACTGCAGCAAGAATCGCTTCAACTTCACCAGCCTGCTCTCTGAGACCGAGAACATTCTGGCCACAGAGGAGCTCAATCAGCAGAGTGTCAAAGAGCGGGTGTGGATCGGTGACCCTCTGGTGTACCAGGCCTGGTCCCAAGGAGGAGACCAGCTGTGTCCAACGATGAGACGCTGTGGAGCCAAAGATGGAGTGTGGGAGAGTCTGTACTGTCAGGAGAAACTCCACTTCATCTGTGCCTGAGACTCATCCAGAATGTAAACATAAACCTCCATCTATCCTTCACCTCCTCAAGAAGCTTCCTGACTCTAAAGTAACAGAACGTGTGGATTTTATCAGTGTGTGAAACTTGTGTGTTAATCAAATGTAACTTTTGGAAGTAATTGTATTTGTAAATCTAATACCTTTTTGTCTTTTCTCCACTTGTAAGTCTGTTCTCAAAAACACTTGTTTCATTCTTTTCAGATAGAAAACATTCTTTTGGGGCTTTAAAACACATTTAATTATCTTTCTTTGTTGTTGCCACTGATCTTTTTTTTTTTGCTTAGTTTTTGTGGCGTTCAATAAAGCAGTGGTTCAGCGATCTACTTAAAAACAAACGTTTATTTTTCATTCAAGATTTGTTGTTTTAGTCATTCAGAGTTTTATGGGAGTCAGGGAAGTGACACCACTACAGCGTGACTGGACTTGTCTTAATCTGGAAAAAACATCTGACTCTTAATTAATAAAAATTTTAAACATGAAATGAGAATTTTTATTCATTCAACTTAATTAACAGAAAGCTGTGTTCATCCATCCATCCATCCATCCATCCATCCATTTTCTTCCGCTTATTCGGAGTCGGGTCGCGGGGGCAGTAGCCTAAAGGTTGGTTTATGCTTGACGCGTCCGCGAGGTCCGCGCGGCAAAATTACGTCATTTTAACAACCACGCCCCTCCACCGCGTCTCCGCACTGCCCAAAATTTCCGCAACGCGCACCTAGGAAAATTTATAACCACGCGGACGGTCGGACGCGAAAAAACATGGTGGACCGGCTAGAACTAGTATGGCAGAGGTTCGTAAATACAGACATTTGTATGATTCAGCTCTCAGAGATCACCGTGATCAACATGTTGTTAATAATTCTTGGAGAGAAATAGCTCGCGCTGTCGGAAAAGACGAGGACGCTGTTAAAAATGCTGAAATGCCATGTTGTAAACAGTAATTTCTACATCTACTATGGTGTAGTGTTGGATGCATGCCGTAGAGCTCCATGCTGCCCCCTACAGTTTGGGAGAATATTGTCTCACCGCAGAGACAAGCCGCATGAACCATAAACGCTGCGAGTTGTGAAGCGCGTTCCAGCCGCAAGCCGCATCACCGCGCGGAAAGTGAATGCGTCAAGCATAAACCAAGCTTCAGGCCCAGACTTCCCTCTCCCCAGCCACTTGGGCCAGCTCTTCCAGGGGAATCCCAAGGAGTTCCCTGGCCAGGTGAGAGACGTAGTCCCTCCAAAGTGTCCTGGGTATACCTTTAGGTCTCCTCCTGGTTGGACGAGCCCAGAAAACCTCACCAGGGAGGCGTCCAGGAGGCATCCTGACCAGATGCCCGAGCCACCTCAATTGGTCCCTCTCGATGTGGAGGAGAAAGCGGTAAATGCCCGCTATATAAAGGATTTGTTCTTCTTTCCAACAGAACGTAGGGTAAGAACAAGAATTCCTTATAAATCCTGATGAGAACAACTCCCTAACTACTGAGCTTGTTTGTTTGCTTATATTTAAACACCTGTGCACCTATCCAAGGTTGGATCAAAGACGCAGGGAACATGAATGGACTCAAAAGACTTGAATCTTTAAAAAAAGACTCGTGCAGAAAGTTAACATGAAACAGATGAGCAACAGAAGGGTCTGGCAGCTGGACTGAGGGAACAACTGGTAATTAACTGGTGGGAAGTTGACCACATATTGAGGTGCAGCTGGGAAATTAATGATGTGCTGACATTGCGGTGTTTCTCTCCTGAAGCCTGGAGCTCAAAGCTGGATGGTTGCAAAAGAACAAGAAAGAAAGGGATATTGCCTCATAGGTCATCTTTCCAAAAGCATATCAGGAGCGTGTGTCCTGAGAGAGAGAAATGATAACAGACTAAATACCCTCCTGATCCTGCCCTCCCCCCTTCCAGATGTTTTCTAACAAAGACACGATTTACGGTTGTCCAGGATACCATCCATGTCTCATCTACCTCTAAGAGGACCAGTAACACTAGCTAGAAAGAACTCCTCTTAACCCTCTGGAGGTAGGCGTTGCAGATTTGCAACAGTTAAAACCTACCTACCTGGTTACTCCACATACGTATTTCATGAGCATTTTTTAACTCAGAAGTACCCCTGAAGGACTGAGGCCTAGTCCACACGTAGCCGGGTTTTTTTTTAAAAACGAATATCCGCCCCTCCAAAAACTTGCATCCACACCACCTCGTTTAAAAAAAAATCTGTCCACACGTACCTGGATAAATACGTTGTTAAGGACATGCCAGACCTGTAGGCGGCAGTACTTCCCCCGTTCTTAACCTCGTCCTTCGTCTGTGGTCTTCCGCAAGGAGCAGTAATTCCGCTTGCAAAAACAAACAAGCAAAAAGCGCTTGGACAATTGATAAAGCGAGCGCAGCTCTGAGGGCATCCATGCTGTCGGCTAGTGTAAACACAGGTCGCACACGTGATGTCAGCATTTTTTTGTCGCGGAAAGTGACGTTGCGGACCTTAAAACTCCGGTTTTGTCCGTCCACACGCAGACACCCAAAACGGAGAAAACGCAGATCTTCACTTTGGCCGGAGTTTTTAAAAAACTCTGTTTTCGTGTGAAAAAACTCTGTTTTCGTGTGGATGACAGGCCAAAACGTAGAAAAATATCTACGTTTTGGCAGATCCCCGGCTACGTGTGGACAGGGCCTTAGTTGTTCGTCCTTTTATCAAAACTTATTTCGAGCCTGAGAGGATTTAACATTTATGCAATAAACTTTCTCAACCTTGAAGGTTGCAAATCACAGGAACCACAGATAATGAACATTAATCCAAATAACAGAAAGTCATTAATCAAATTAGCCATTACCGCCCTGGGCTCTTTTAAGCATGCCTTTCAATTTTCCTACTAACCAAATAAGGTAGTTAGGAGCCCTGACAAAAACAATCAAAATAATTGAGAACTACTCAAACTAGTAATGCATTTGATCATCACAGACTGGTTTGGTTTAAATCCCCAAATGGTTCCTGGGCATGGCTGTGTCTGCAGCTCACCGCTCCACGGGGATGGGTCAAATGCGGAGAACACATTTCAAACACACCAGTGTGACAACTAGTGGGACTTTCACTTCCACTATGTCAAGACTAACGGTAACTCCCAAACCAGACACATAAGAACATAATTATGAACGGACATTAATTACTTAATATAAGCGAGAGAGAGAAAGCATTACCTGACATTTTTGTTGACAGGTGTGGATTGCAGCATGCCAGAGTTTCTGGGCAGATCTCAGGGAACACTAAAAGCCTAACTAGATAAACTGCAGTTTTTATGAGCATTTTGTTGAATTTTTCTTCTACCACATGCCAAACCCAGCTTTTAACACACTTTGAATATTTGGCTGGGAAAGATTTGTTTTAAAAACACATCGTCCTACTTTGTTTAAGTCGTCAGTGATCTTGTCTAAACGTATGAAAATGTGCTGTCCTCATCTCTGAAAGGAAGAGAATAAAGCCCCAGACTTAGAGGAGCTGAACACAGACGGAAGCAGGATGGAGAGGATCGTCTTCAGAGTGATCATCGTTGCAGGTGCCTGCTGTTTGTCTGCTAAACACGTCTTTATCCAAAACGGCCTTTCTTGGGCTGAAGCTCGAGCACACTGCCAAAACGTTCACGTTGACCTTTCATGTCTCACCAGTGAATCGGAAGAAAAGCTGTTCAGATTGTCTGTGGATGAGAGCAAGAGAGGATGGATCGGTGCATACTGGGACGCAAACTTCCAAATGTGGAAATGGTCAGATGGAGAAAATGTCACCTATGACAACAATCTGGATTTATCATACAGCGGTGGTACTTCACCACCACACCTGAGAGATAATGTCCGTTGGAAAAACGATGGATGGGAATGGGACGACGGTGGTCATAAAAATGATTTCTTCTGTTTTACGCTGACTCTGGTGCAGGAGGAGAAGACCTGGGAGGAGGCTCTGGAGCACTGCAGTGAAAAACACTCTAACTTCACCAGCCTGCTCTCTGAGACCGAGAATATTCTGGCAACAAAGGAGATCAGTCAGACGAGTGTCACTGAGCGGGTGTGGATCGGTCTGCGTTACCTTGAAGACAGCTGGCTGTGGGTGAACGGTGACCCTCTGATGTACCAGGCCTGGTCTCAAGGAGGAGATCAACTGTGTCCAATGATGAGACGCTGTGGAGCTTTAACCAAAGATGGAGCATGGGAGAGCCGGGACTGTCTGGAGAAACTCCACTTCATCTGTGCCTGAATGAGACCGGTGATCAGAGAGGAAAAGAAATCGGTTGAAACAAACAGACATTTTTACTCTTATGACTTTCAAAGTTAGTAATATTACCTGTTATGTAACATACAAATAATACTTTGAGTTGCAGTCATAAGTTGTGAAGCACCAAAGATAAATGTTGTCCATATAATTAGTCCAATCTAAAAATGGGAAATGTGACAAATCAAATTTACAATATTTTCTTATTCTTATCGGTTTTTTAGTTGTTAATTGTTAAGCAGAGCAATGATCTGTGCAAAAAAACACTTTATTTTACCGTATTTAAGGTAAATAAACCAGTTGCTGGTTAACCCTCTCAGGCTCGAAATAAGTTTTGATGAAAGGACGAACAACGAAGTCCTTCAGGGGTACTTCTGAGTAAAAAAATGCACATGAAATACGTATGTGGAGTAACCAGGTAGGTAGGTTTTAACTGTTGCAAATCTGCAACGCCTGCCTCCAGAGGGTTAACATATAGCATTGAGATGTAACACTCTAGACATTTTGTTTTTATTCATTAATTCTGAGTTACCTGAATTTTTCTATACAGGATTGATAAGCTAATGGCTAGTGTGAGCAGAAGGTTCAGTTATGGTTCATGCCAGACCTAATCTCATTTATTACTCAAATTATGCAATGGCCAAACACAACATTACATTTTCTCCTTTCTTTCAATCAATTATTATTTTTTTCTTTTTCATGTTTTATGTTTTATTTAATGACTGCTGTAAACCTAAGAGTAGCATTGGCGAAACTTTTAAAATAACTTTTGAATTTTTTTTTACCTTTTTCTTACAAATGGCAGCTGAAGCTCGGGGGACAGATGATCAGGAGGTTGGTGGTTTGATCCTGGATCCCCCCTCACATGTCAAAGCATCCTTGGGGAAAACGCCGACTGTCATATGACCCCTCTACTCTTACGTTAGTAACACTTCCACCTCTTAACTCATTCACTGCCAGCCGTTTCCTGATCACTAACGGCCTTCGCTGCCAGCGTTTCTCACCATTTTTACTGTTTTTTTAAGAGTCACAGAACGTTGCGCGCTAGCATGATGTCGATGCCAAAACAACCAAAACAAAGAGGAGACTCACCTCTTACATCAGGAAGAAGCCACGTGTTTCAAAGCGTTATCCATTCTTTCATAATCCGTTGTCGAATTGTGATCGGCAGACGCTTTTCCGGTTCGCGCCTCACTTTTTTTACAGGAACGGCCCAAAACGATCTCCTAACACATGGATGTGTTGCTTCCTGATCATGTGATCTGTGACGCATGCGGATGAAGATCGGCTTCAGGGCTGAGATGTTTGTTCTCTCAGCGCGGGGGCTCGTTCCGATGCTCAAACTGTAAAAAAAATGCAAATGACGACTTTAGTCGTCAATGGCAGTGAATGAGTTAATGATCGAAAGAAGCAGGTTATAACTAGAAATGCAGCAGACACACATTTACAGTCTGTGGCCAAGAGTAAGTCTGTGAAAGAGAGTCAAAAAGGTCAGGCAAGGTTAAAAACGTGTGGCAGGCAAAAAACTCAGAGATCTAAGGAGAAGCAGGCAGAATTGTTTGACAGCAAAGTAAACTGGGTTGGTACAATCGACATGTATACACGGACAAATAATGCCCATTGGCTCGATTAGTATGGTTTTGATTTGAGGTTCCCACCACTGCCATTTTGACCGTGTCCCGCGTCTCATCATGCCCAGACAATCCAAAAATGGGAAAAGTGGTGGAACTGAGGGTGGGGCTGTTACGGTTGGAACAGGGTTGGAACAATGAACCAATGTAGCTACCAGCTAAATTAACTAACCCAAAAAAGCTAAGAAGGGGCTCCAGGGTGTGTGGCCTGTGCGGCCGCTTGGTTCCATGCGAGGCTGTAGTCATGCTGGTCGCCTGTGGGTGGGTCATCTGGACCTTGAGACGTGGCAGATGTGTTTACTTCAGCTCCTACTTTTTGTGCTCTAATTCCTCTTAAAACCTGTTTTTTCCTGTCACCGATCTCTGGATTCTGTGATTTTGTTGAAATGCTGTTGGACCTTTGTTTATTTTTTGGATTATTTGACTTCTTGGACCTTTATTTGGAATACAAATCTTTCAGATCCGACAGAGGCAGCTCAGCTAAAGTGTAAGCTACCTTAAAGCTATCTTGAATGTCTGTCCTCCCGCTCCTTCTGCCCCACAATGATGCCTTTATGCTTTTTAAAGCAAATAAAAGAATTGAAAACCTTAAAGAGGATATACGATGACTCTCTGCTGAACTGTAAAATAAGGACATGGTGCTGGATAGTTTTAGATCTCGTATTCCTGTACTGTCTGAGACCGTTGTCAGTCAGTTTGAAGATAAAACATCCATGCAAAACTCTCTGCTCCAAGACACCATTGCTTGGGATCCCTCTGCACCACAAAATCCGACTTCCAGCTCTACCTCTGACCAATTTTCATCTTGGTCAGAGGTTGTGGTACGTGGCCGTAGGAGAGCCCCTGTGGTTGATCCCAACCCCCCACCTGACCTCAGTCTTTCAAACCGCTTCTCTCCACTTGCTGAGGAACAACCAGCTGATTCCTCCAGGCCTCCTCTTCCCTCCCAACCATCTGATCCCATCCAGCAGGAGCCTGTAGTCCGGAAGAAGCAACCTCAGCAGTCTCTTCCCCCCCAGACCACAACCTCTGATGCCCGACGCAAAACACTAAAGGATGCCGTGCGTCAACACTTTGCTGCACCACCTGCCCTGGCTCAGGAGGTGAGGTCCTCCACGGCAAACCCTCCAGTTCCCCGACACCACAGGAACCCAAACCCAGAATCTTCCTCTACTCCACGGGAACACAAATCAGGAGCCCTCTACACCCGTCCACTGTTTTCATCTACCACTTTGCTGGTAGGTGATTCAAAAATCAGGAATATCCGCTTTTTCAACGTCAATACGAGATGTTTTCCATCAGCCACCATACCTGCTCTCCTATGGGCCATTCCCATCTGTACCGGGTCGGCCCGGGCCGGGTAGTGTAGGTTGTTTACATATCTGGGTGGCCTGGTATTTGTCCGGGCCAACCAAGGCTCATTCTCAGCCCTCTTCTCGAGGGGGTCTGCTTCAGGCCGACCAGGGCCAACACGCCCACTGCTGACAGCAAATTCACACCTTCCATTAGAGCAAGCCTCTGATTGGTGGGTAGAATCAGCCCACATGGGCTTAAGACAAGGATGCGTGGAATCAACCGGGCCGACTGGGGCTACCCGGCCCGGGCCGACCCGGTACAGATGGGAATGGCCCAATAGATAAACTTCCTGGTCTGCTGTGCTCCATCCCAGCTTCAGTTAAAAGAGTGATCATTCATGTGGGATCAAACGATGTTACACGCCGGGAGTCTGTCATCACTCAACAGCATTTTAACCATCTCTTTGACATTCTGAAGAGCAGTGGGATGTCGGTTTTCATCTCTGGCCCGATCCACACAGTTTCTCATGGACATGGACGTTTTAGCCGTCTGCTCTCTCTCCACTCCTGGCTTCAGTCTGCTTGCAGGTCCCACAGTTTTGGCTTCATCGATAATTTTAACCTGTTTTGGAACCGTTTCTCCTTTTTCAGGCGAGGTGGTATTCACCCTAACCGACATGGCTCAAGCATGCTAACCGCTAACATCCGGTGCAGCCCCATAGACATACATCTTTGGTGGATGCCCTTCCACAGACATGACGGTTTACATCCCAGAGATCTTCACCTTCTTCGGCCTTTGCTCAAACCTCCACTTCAAATTGTCATGTTAGCATTTAATTTTCTAACCCACATGCAGAATCAGAGCCGCGAGACAAAGGTTTTCCTCCTATAAACCACTGCAATTGTACTGATTAAACAAGTGAACCAAACCTTTAAACATTTTAGATTTCATGGTTGTGTTGGAAGAATTATGAAGCGTCAGCCAAAGGAGCCCCATCATGTCAATGATTCTCTTGGCATTTATAGCAGGAAATAAAATGTCATCAGTATTTTTACATTTTCTGACATTAAAAAAATAAATTCTCACAAATTTTTCTGATTGAAAACTTTTCACACCTTAAACTGGGGTTGGTTTGAATCAACGTGTTTGGTTTCACTGTTCGAACGCTAGTTTGTAAAGTTAAAAACAGGTCATGTAGGAATAAAAACTGATAGGAAAAATACTTCTTTTAATCACATTTGAATATTTTCACATTGATGTGCGAAAAGCAAAACCAACTTTAGAAAGAAAAATTTATTGACCGAAAAGAAAAAAATGGAGGCACTGTTAAAACATAGATGATAACAGAGGATGTGCTTTAACAACAATCATGACAGCACACATTATGTTACATCTATCAGCTAACCCTAACCCACTAAACACAGATCATCGCTGCAAACGCCATAATAGTTTATCCTTCTGTTGCAGCCGATAATTCAATTGTACTATTTACTACACGGCACTAATACTTCTTACAAACTTTACACACTTTAGCACAATTATTTCATATCTCAACTCTTTACAATACAGATAAATTAACCTGGAAGATTTTAAGTTCACAACAGAAAAGGTTTCTTTTAGCACAAACACTATAAACAACCTGTTGTTTTATTATTATTTGTAAACACAAAATTATGTTTACAAATAAAAGTTCCTCACATTCCAGCTGCTGAGGTAATGTGACCCTGTTTGTTAATCCTGTGTATGAAACACAAACCTGCCTGATGGAGATCAAACTTTACACCTTTTAAAATCCTACAAGGATGATTATTTTAGTTCGTGTTTCTATTTTAGTAAAATACTAACATCTTAGGTGTGTTCTTGCTGTGTCGTATTTCTAATTCCATGCTGTAGTTCTTTTTTAAAACACAGAGCAGTTTTGTTACCTGTTTTCCCGCTACGTTTCGTTTGCGGCTGCTAACTTCCTCAGGCTGATGCTGATGGTGGCGTCACTTCCTTCTCCGTTTATCCGCAGGCAGCAGAGGACGTTGTCGCCCTCTGCTGCCCGCTCTCCCCTCTCTGACGATGCAGTCCCATGTGCGATCCAACGTGTAAACTCCATCGTCTCTGTTCATGGTCCCACATCCACGTCTCCTTATCTCGATTGCCTCTTTTATCCATCTTTTGTATTTTTGTTGTTCGGTGTTTTCTCTTGTGCAGTGATCTGTTACGGCTGACGTCTTTATTGTGCTTTCTGCTTCTTCTTTTGCTGCTCTAGTGTGTTTTCGACTTGCCTCTTTCTCGCACTCTTTTCTATGTTCTATTGTTCGTGTGTTGAGTTGGCGTCCGGTTCCTCCTACGTATGTTTTATTGCAGAGTTTGCATGGGATTTCATAAACGACTCCATCAGCTGGACTTAAATGTGGAGTCATTTACGAAATCCCATGCAAACTCTGCAATAAAACATACGTAGGAGAAACCGGACGCCAACTCAACACACAAACAATAGAACATAGAAACGAGTGTGAGAAAGAAACAAGTCGAAAACACACTAGAGCAGCAAAAGAAGAAGCAGAAAGCACAATAAAGACGTCAGCCGTAACAGATCACTGCACAAGAGAAAACACCGAACAACAAAAATACATAAGATGGATAAAAGAGGCAATCGAGATAAGGAGACGTGGATGCGGGACCATGAACAGAGACGATGGAGTTTACACGTTGGACCGCGCATGGGACTGCATCGTTGGAGAGCGGGCAGCAGAGGGCGACAACGTCCTCTGCTGCCCACGGGTAAACGGAGAAGGAAGTGACGCCACCATCAGCGTCAGCCTGAGGAAGTCTGCAGCCGCAAACGAAACGTAGCGGGAAAACAGGTAAACAAAACTGCAGAATGGAATTAAAAATACTAACATTATCTACAAGAACAGTTCTGAGATTATTAACAGGCTGGATAGCACATACCCTTAGTAAACAACGATTCTGTGTTTACTCGGCTTATCTTTGATACGGAGATCTGTTGGCTGATGTGAAAACTGTAAACATACAGAACGAATCGAATGATTCATAAAATTGTGTCACTGTTCGAGCTTGAACTTGGACTGAACTACGAGTCAACTAAAGGCTGCAGAACAAGTCAAGTCAATGTTAAAGCCAACGTGCTAACATGTGTCCCGTGAACAGAGAGACGTTTTAGCTGCAAATGTGACTTTTTCTGCTGAAGTGCATCCAGTTCCATCCTGCTGAGGCCAACACGCTTCACCAAGTTTGGAATCAGAGGCTTGATTGTGCTTACTGGAGTTGGCTTGAGCTTTCTTCCCATCATGCAGCGGTCCATGCGTTTCTGATTGTCTGGAACACGAATGAATGCTCCTCTTTTTAAGAAAGATCAGAAACGTGCCTCCCTTGTGTCTTATCGTTTTATAAATATTGCAGCAGGCGGAGTGACTCTCTTCAGTGCTACATCGGTTAGCTGAGAGCTTTGTCTGACAAACAGGAGCCAGAAGAACCCACTGGACCTGATGATACGAGAGTTCTCCATCCTTCAGTTTGAGCAGAAACACAAGAGGGAGACGTTCACCTCACGGGAGGGACAGACAAGACGCTCCAGGACAAGCAGCAGAGTCGGGTGTGACATTACAGACACTAGTTTTTAAATTTTAAATAAAAACACGCACACACTTCCTCTCTTCCAGTCCACCTGGATCCTCTCCTCTGTTCGGAGCCTTGGTAGTGCACACTGTTTAGTCTCGTCAGCTCTCGTCTTCTGGTGTTCGGTGAATATGTTACAATCCCTTCACGGTCCATCAGGATTTGAGACCCATTCGAGCCATCAGCTGTTCATACACGGTCCAAGCCATGGCAGCCATCAGAGTGCGTCGCAGAGACCTGGGAACAGCTCCACGGAAAAACCCGCCCATGCCATACTCCTGAGGGAAGAGGACACAACCACAACGTTCAGTGTGATGTGAACGAACAACGTGGCTGAGACGCACTGCACAGAAAACCTTCATGAAAAAGCTTTACAACTATTTTTACACTATTTTGTGTCACAAAGAAATGGATTACAGCTCTTGTAAAATGTGCTGAAAATGTTCATGAGATTTTTATACAAAGTGAAAAAGGATGCAACAGCAGAGTCAGCGCCATCCCTGGGTTTTACAGCTGCCTAAGGCGTGCTTATCGTGACTACGGGAGATCATGGACGTAATTTTCACTTTAGAAGGGGGGTGTGGGGTGGGGGCACGGGGGGAGGGTATCTTAAAGCTTGGTTTATGCTTGACGCATTCACTTTCCGCGCGCTGATGCGGCTCGCGGATGGAACGCGCTTCACAACTCGCAGCGTTTATGGTTCATGCGGCTCATCTCTGCGGTGAGCCAATATTCTCCCAAACTGTAGGGGGCAGCATGGAGCTCTACAGCATGCATCCAACACTACACCATAGTAGAAGTAGAAATGACTGTTTACAACATGTCATTTCAGCATTTTTAACAGCGTCCTCGTCTTTTCCGACAGTGCGAGCTATTTCTCTCCAAGAATTATTAACAACATGTTGATCACGGTGATCTCTGAGAGCTGAAGCATACAAATGTCTGTATTTACGAACCTCTGCCATACTAGTTCTTGCCAGTCCGCCATGTTTTTCCGCGTCCGTCCTTCCGCGTGGTTAGAAATTTTCCGAGGTGCACGTTGCGGAAATCTTGGGCCGTGCGGAGGCGCGGTGGAGGGGCGTGGTTGTTAAGATGACGCAACTTTTCCGCGCGGAGCCGTGCGGACCTCGCGGACGCGTCAAGCATAAACCAACCTTTACAGCATGCTCTAATGGGAAACAGGCTTCAACACAAACGGTTGTTTTCTGCTTGGTCGTAGAGCTCAACCAGTGTCAATTTAATATAGTGTACTATTGTTTTTGGATGGTAAAAAGTGCAGGGGTCAAAACTTGACTTTGGAAAAAGTGTGTGTGTGTGTGGGGGGGGGGGGGGGGGGGATTCCCCCCCGTCCCCCCCCCAAAATTACGTCCATGCGGGAGATGGATTCATCAGTTTAGCAGTCACATATTTAATGTTAGCTGGCAAACTCCAACATGGACTTCAGCACCTGTAGTTTACTAAATGAACAAATACGCAACAGGCTGGTTTCAGTCTGCAGGACGAAGACGTGATGCAACCAGCTTTATGGCTTTTGTCTGTTTTTTAAAGAGGAGAGAATGTAGTCTGTTATTGCAATGAGCTTCAAATGATGAGTTTTTTTTTAATGCCTGAGCATGCACATGAGCTATTTGCTCTTTCTTCAGGGCTCTTATTGTGAAAGGTTTATAGGGGAGGTTTAGTGAAACTGACGTCTCATAAAGACGATGGTCTGTGTTGTTCAACCAACCAGAGATGAGTTTAAGCAGCTGTGTCTAGTAGGGCTGGGCGATATGGCAAAAATAGAATATCACGATTTTTCCAATATTTTATCACGATTTCGATTTTATCACGATTTTTTATCCATGAATAGCATAACTTCAATAGCGTATTAAAGAAGAGAAACATTGAATAAATAAACATTTATTCATATTAGGGATAATCAGCACAGTGCTAACACACTTATATTTTAAACTCACACCAGAGATGATAAAAGCCCTGAGAGAAACAATTACAAAAATCTGTTTTTCTCGTTTTTCAAGTAACTTCACATAAATTAAAATCGTAAACACATTTAAAGTGCAAACATGTCAATTGCAAACGTATTTTGCAAACATTAACTTGTTCAAACTACTATGTAGCTCCCAGTTGCTCATGTGGTGGATAGTTAAGCTCAAATACGGCTCTGATGTGCGGCTGGACCAGAGATCGCTTGTGGTAGCAAAAAACTGCGCATTCTGAATATTTTCTGCAACTCTCACTTTGCATTCAGCGTACATGCGTGGAATGGCGGTGTTCGAAAAATACTTGTGGCTGGAAAACTCGTAGCGCGAATCCAATGTTTTTATCATTTTCTTAAATCCCGCTCCTACTGTTCGCACGGGACTCAAATTTTTAACCAAGTGGTACGTCACTGCATCTGTCACGCTGTTCCATCGTCTGCTGTCTCTGTCGTAAGGAGTGAGTTTTGTGAGTGTTGCTGTTAGCGTTTGCTGCCTGGAAGAAGCACTAGCCGCTGCAGTCGCAGGCTTTTTAGCTTTAGCTGCCAGCTGGCTCTCATTGTATTGTTTGGGATGCCTTCTTTTCAAGTGACTAAACAAGTTTGTGGAGTTGCCATCACTTGCCTTGACGCTCTCCTTGTAAATGACGTTTCGCTGCTCTTTGTCATCTGGTGAAAAGCCAAACCAGTTCCATATAATGGACGAGGCGTTCCTCTTTGGAACGAGAACCTCGCTGTTGCTCTCAGCCGCGGCCGAAGCCATGTTTGTTCACACACAGGTGAAAACAAGCGGGGCTCTAATATATTACTATGACCCACTCTGATTGGTTAAGGGTCAAACAAAGGCGTGTCATTCGCCTGGGGTAAGTTCCCTTTTCATTCAGAGGCAGAATTTCAACAGCAGAGCTGTGAATCGTGATAAAAAGGTCTCTCAAAAATGACAGACCGTCAGATGTGTAGATCGTAAAACGGTCTAAAATCGTCATATCGCCCAGCCCTAGGTCTAGTATGGCGGCACTATCGCCCTCTGGTCTTAACAGCAACATATAGAAGAGACGCTGATTAAATACATCTCCTCAGATCCTCGTTTCCCTTTCCTTCCCTCACATTGTGCGGACACTGAAATCCTTGTTTCAGATAAACTCTGCCACACCACAGATGAGAGAAAGCTCAGCTGGGTCAGAAACACAAACACTGTTGATCACAGCTTTTAAATGGCGTGGTCACAAAATGTAGTTTTAACATTAGAATGAATAAAAAGGAGAACTTTCATCCTTACAGCCCTCCACTGATAAACTCACCCTGTAGATGTAGAGAACAGCATCCGTTGTGCTCCAGTGGGATGAGCGGACTTGAATGTGGGTCTTGACCACATCTGCAGGCTGTGTGGCCAGCGACGCCATGACACCAGCAACGACTCCACAGCTAAAGTTCACCAGCGGGGCGTATGGCGCCGACGTCACCTCTGAGAAAACAGAGAATAGATGTCAGAAAATGCTTAGAAATTCACAAACCTCCAGATTTATGCTGCTCTTACCTTGTGGCAGCGCTCGCTTAGCCTGACTATAAAACATGACGTAGATGCCGGAGAAAGGAGCGTCTCGGAGCAGAGTGGCGGTGAGCCCGGAGAACAGAGCCTTGACTCCCTCAGTCTCATACATGCTCCTGAGGGCACCAGCAACACTTGCATAGTTGTAGCGTCCACTCTGAAACACAAGCAAACGCAGCATGTTTCTAAATGAAAGCTGAAACATTTCACTGCTTTATTAGCTGAAAATTACTAACTGAAATGTTGTCATCAATTTTATCACACATGTAGACACCAACTAATTAAAATGAACTTTCTACTTGAACAGTCTCAAGGAGAAGACATGGGCAAACAGAACTGTTGTAAAGGCAAACAACAGCTGCTACGGGAGCCCAGGAGTCCAAACAGGGAGTCTGTGCAAATAAGTGTTTTTTTTTTAAATCAGGAATGTTAGAAACAGAAATAGTTTGTGAAGTGTGGCTGGATGCTGCACCAGAGTATGTTGTAGTTAGGGCTGCTCAATTAATCTAATTTTAATCACGATTACGATCGGAGTTTTGAACGATTATAAATACAAAACAAGCCGATTATTTGCTCCTCCCACTTGCGCAGCCCTGAGTTGCAAATGAAGCGCTCCTCCCACAGTGTTGCCAACTTTGCGACTGACGCTATTTCTAGCAGCTTTTCAGACCCCCTTCTTGACTTTTTAAATCTTAAAAGTACCTAGCGAACACCTCAGAAACATCTCTGGTAACCCTAAGCTACTTTCTGGATAACTGTCGACATTTCCTGCAGGTTAGCTAAACAATCCGCCTGCGCTCCGGACCGTTCTTCAGGACATTAGGAAAGGGAATGATGTAGTGATGCGTCAGTCGCTAAAGAAACAGCTCTCAGAGCCGGCTCCATGTTGGATTAACCAGAGTGAGTGACACACACACCGCACCTGCGGACTCCTGAGCCACTAAAAACGGCTAAATGTGCGCGTGCGGCGCGCTAAACACACGTGCAGCTTGCCCCGATTGCTGTGAGACCAGGTTGGGGGGTGGGGGGTGCAGCTGTGGTTGGGACAAATATTACATTAACTGATGGACTTGTAAATAAATAGTTTATAAATAAAGTAGAAATAAGTTCCTCACGCTGATAACTAATAACTAATCTCTCTGAGGACACGGTGCTAGTGCACTCTCCTACAGCACCTTGACACGACTCAATACATGTTATGCAACATTTTGTGAACATCAATTTATTTGCATTTATTTGTTATAAATGCCACTGTATAATTCTTGCTGTCAGTATTTGCAAGATATTGGTATTTGGGTCTGTACTGGTTACACTTACATGAGTTAAACCTAGGTCTATAGCCCTTGGGTCATAGACTATGAGCTATAAGTATATTGGTCTTTTTATACTGGGAATCAGGAGTTAATTTAGTGATCATCTTGTTTCTTATTTATTTTTGTCCTGATTGTGCCCTGAGCAATTTTATGACTGAATAAAAACAAATAAAATCAACATAAATTGAAAAATCGTCCTAAATAATCGAGATCACAATTTCAGTCACCATAATCGTGATTATTATTTTTGCCATAATCGAGCAGCCCTAGTTGTAGTCAATACTTAGAAGTCTTTGAGGTATATTTTTTCATGTGTAGAATAAAAATCTGGTGTTTTGCCCTTGTTCTGCCATTTTCTCTAGCACCGACTCTCAAAAATACACATGAGTTTGGCTTTCCAAAGCGGTGGAACCGGTCCAGCTGAACGATAAAATAAGAGCGTGCTTCCAAAGAAGAAAGAAACTAAATAATTCTAGTAATGTTTTGTTTTGTCAAGTGTGATAATGGAGCTGAAATCAAAACACATTAATCGCACAGTCCAAGGAGAGGTGAGCTGAGGCCTGGGATTGAGTCAAAGCTGAGCACCTCAAAGCGGGCCTTGATAACGGTGAATGGCAGCATGCAGACTCCAGCCACAGTTCTGGCTCCTGCTCCAAGCAGAACAGCCTCGCCCGCGTTCGGAGCTCGATCCAAGAAGTAGTGCTGCTTCAGGGAGTAGAAGGTGCTGAAGTAGATCCCCACCCCGGGGATACAGCGAACAAATGACTGAGGAGGCAGAAACGGGACCATTAATCCTCTAAATAGCCCTTTATCGTTGTTATTTTTTTATTTGTCTTTTTAACTTTTTAATCTGACACAGCCAACATAAAGATAAATGTCACTCACAGGTAGGGATGGGTACCTTTGACATTTGAATCGATTTGGTACTAATTCCCCGTACCTAGGAATCGATACCGGTACTTAACGGTACCAATTTTAGATACTTTTGAGTGTTTAATATTTTAATTCTCTTTTATAATAAAATATATATTTTTCTCAATATATAACAATATTTGATAAATATCATGATAAATAACATACAACTGTTTGTATTTTAACATCATCCTTGTAGTTTTATAAGCTGATAATTAAACTGAAGCAAACATCTTTACTGTGAACTAAATTTACTGTGTATCTTCATTCCTTTTGCCGTCTTTTTTCATTTGATTTTTCCTACTGGGAAGTTAGAATTTCCGAGGAGAAAGCGAACGCACCATTAGCTGATAACAACGGTGGCAATGGAAGCTAACATATCAAGCTAACGTTATATTTAACCGTTTATTTAGCTGCTGGAGCAGATTTAAACGATGATGCCTCACAGTTAGATCGTTGTCGCTGGTTTCGTCTTCACCCAATCACCCGTCGCATTTAGTAAAGTGAAGCCAAACTTTAGAGCGCGTTCATGTTCTTCTAGTCGGAATTTTGGAGTTCCGAGGAGAAAGCGAACGCACCATTAGCGGAACGGAAGCTAAAATATCAAGCTAACGTTATGTTAAACATTTTATTTACCTACCGGAGCAGATTAAGATGAGGATGTCTCACTTAGATCGTTGTCGCTGGTTTCATCATCACCCAGTTACCCATCACATTTAGTGAAGTGGGCCCAAGCTTTAGCGTGCGTTCTTTCTACCATGCTGCTCTGTTTACAACTGGCTCGCAGCGACCGACGACATAACGCCCTTGCGCATGCGCAGCTGTCTAGGCAAGTTCTCGTTAGGAAGGACGGGTACGAGGCACCATTTCAAATTACGTGAATCTGTGCTCAGTCGGTACTGTGGAATTCGGTCGGTACCTTTAAAAGTACCGAATTCGGTACCCATCCCTACTCTCAGGTTCAGGTGCCTCCATCTTCTGTAAACAAAGAAAATGTAATCTTCATAATAAACGTCTCTCCCAAATCACCATGAGATCCTAGCGACATTCAATTCCTAGAGCAGGTCACGGTGACCTTGACGACGTCATCAGAGCTAATTTTACATGTAACCTACACACAAACTACCACTAATGGGTCAGAAACAGCAGGGATCGTTGCAAAGATCCAGAATAATGATGATGTCAGTAACTCACAGGTGAAACTCCCTTCCACAGACTGAAGAACTTCTCTGTCCTGATAACACTGATGAAAACTGTAAACATCCCCACCTTCGGTGAACTGTAAAACGTACACAGACACGTCAGCGGCAGCATCCTAAGTCAGGTTGAGATGACACATTGTTGCAAAAACCAAACTTCAATGCAGAAATCTGCTGTGCACGGGTAAACCTAAATGTGATGCTGCAAAAGATCAAATCCACCTTTAGACAATAAGAGCTGCTGAACTCAGAGCTGGCTGGAACTGCACAGCCTGGCAGAAGATGACATGGTGCTGGTGTGACTAATGGTGCTATGTGGGTCACGGAAACAGAATCAGGCAGGTACTGGTATGGTGTGTGTGTGTGTGACGAGATGCAGGTAAAGTGGTCAGACTTTGTATGTGTCCATGTTCACACATATAAGATATGATCACACACACACACCCTGGCTTGGCGTTGTTCTGCAGAGTCTGAAGTCGTGTCTTGACCAGATCCAAAGGCTGGAAGAGGAGCGTGGAGCATGTGCCGCTCAGAGAGCCGCACAAGAAGGCTTTGAGAGCTGGGTGAGCCTGAGGACGACAGAAAACACACAGATGAAGGAGAATGGGAGGAAAAATGGTGGACAGAGCTGGAGAGGTAAATTACATAAAACAACCAGTCTTCAAAAGGAGAGCAGTACATTTGATTCAAAATTTGTATTATATAAAAACCATATAAGAAATCTAACGCTTTCCCAGAAAGACGAATAACCTCATAAGTAAACGATAATAGACATGGTTTTAATTCTAGCTACAAATGTAAAAAGGCACGGAGCAGAGGGAAGGTTCCCACACAGCCACGATGATGGAGATGTGAGGCGACAGCTCATACAAACAACAAACACACACACACCTTCAGAGAACATCACACTGAATTACATCTACATCTTCTAACCTCGAAGAACCTCAAGTCTTTCAACTTTAACAGCGTCTTTTATGTGGGCTTCATATGATTTACAGAGTAAACATTAAATGTTCCTGCAGAAATCAGTAACACCTGAACGCCACACTAAAGCCGATGGGTAGGAATGACCCAACGTTCCATCATCATGGAGAGCAAACATGTCCAATGTTGAAGTGACCAGACATATGCAAATATAATAAAAAAGAGATATAACATGCTGCACACACACACACACACACACACACACACACACTTACCTTCCCCAGCCTGACTGGGCTCTGGGAATCCTGTTTTTCCTTCATCCTTCCCTCATTCACCACGCTTTCATCTTACTGCCGATACAAAACAAACCTGTCTCTCTCTCACCAACCTTCCTTCGTCCTCTCCCACCGAGCCACAGTAGCTTCCCCCTTCTCTTGTCCCCCCCCCCCCCCCCCCTTTCACAGCCAAAGCAGAAGCTTAATCCAGCCTGCTGTTTTCTAAAGGCTTCATTTTTTATCTTTCTGAAACACACTCCTACATCTGCATTTGGCTCGCCCCCCCACTCCCGACCCAACGCTCACTGCTAAATTACATCTTATCAAATGGCATGAGTCATGAGGTGGCGAGAGTGCATTTAAAATGTGGGTCACACACAAAGTGCAGGTTTCCTCCTGATAATTTTAACTGATTAAAATTTAAGTCCCAAAAACCTGAATCTAAACCCGGGTTAAAGGAAGATAATTTTGTGTAAGCCACTGTAAAAATAAAAATCTGTACTGTAATACATGAGGAGTCTCATCTATCTACTCATGTCTCAAAGAAAAGTCCAGGTGTAAATCGCCCAAAGTTGATGCCAAAGCCGTTTCAAACGAGCGCCGTTGCTGAGCCGGAGCCATCTTTGTCGTATTTCTCTGTTGCAGCTCTGGTGCTAAGCCCGCCCAACGTCTCTCTACAAACAGCGCTGTGAGTGGCCGGACCTAAAGCTGTTCGAGCCACTGGTAGACCTGCTGAGGCTAGGGATGGGTACCTTTGACATTTGAATCGATACCGGTACTTAACGGTACCAATTTTCGATACTTTTGAGTCTTTAATATTTTAATTCTCTTTTATAATTAAATATATTTTTCTCAATATATAACAATATTTGATAAATATCACGATAAATAACATTCAACTGTTTGTATTTTAACATTGTCCTTGTAGTTTTATAAGCTGATAATTAAACTGAAGCAAACATCTTTACTGAGAACTAAATTTACTGTGTATCTTCATTCCTTTTGCCGTCTTTTTTCAACTGATTTTTCCTACTGGGAAGTTAGAATTTCCGAGGAGAAAGCGAACGCACCATTAGCTGATAACAATGGTAGCAATGGAAGCTAACATACCAAGCTAATGTTATCTTAAACAGTTTATTTAGCTGCTGGAGTAGATTAAAACGATGATGCCTCACACTTAGATCGTTGTCACTGGTTTCGTATTTAGAGCGCGTTCATGTTCTTCTAGTCGGGAATTCGGAGTTCCGAGGAGAAAGTGAACGCACCATTAGCAAAACGGAAGCTAACATATCAAGCTAATTATATTTACCTACCGGAGCAGATTAAGATGAGGATGTCTCACTTAGATCGTTGTCGCTGGTTTCATCATCACCCAGTTACCCATCACATTTAGTGAAGTGGACCCAAGCTTTAGCGTGCGTTCTTTCTACCATGCTGCTCTGTTTACAACTCGCTCGCAGCGAGCGACGACATAACGCTCTTGCGCATGCGCAGCTGTCTTGGCAAGTTCTCGTTATGATGGACGGGTACCGAAACGAGGCACCGTTTGAAATGACGTGAATCGGTGCTCAGTCGGTACTATGGAATTCGGTCTGTACCTTAAAAAGTACCGAATTCGGTACCCATCCCTAGCTGAGGCTACAATAGTGTGGCTAAACCGATCTGCAGAGCTAAATCTTTTGCTACAGCTACAGTTTGTCTAGATCTCTACCGTTTTACACCGTGATGGTATGAACCACATCAGGGAGGTCACAACATTACTGACCCCAACAACATCGATAGGGTTTTGTACAGTAGCTGAAGATAGATTGTGATGCCATGTTGCAAAACACCCTGGCATGCAGGGTCATACAAGCAAGCAGGCATTTATTATTGTTTCCTATGGGTCTGAGTTGCTCCCATCTGGCTTAAGTTGTTTTTCGTTTCCCAAAGATTTTCAAACAGTGAGGAACTCGCTCTGTGCTGGGGTGTGTGTTAATTGGACTCTAGATATAGGGCTGCTCAATTAATCGAATTTTAATCACGATTACGATCTGAGTTTTGAACGATTATAAAAAACATAACAAGCCGATTATTTGCTCCTCCCGCTTGCGCTGCCCTAAGTAGCAAATGAAGCGCTCCTCCACAGTGTTGCCAACTTAGCGACTTTGACGCTATTTCTAGCAGCTTTTCAGACCCCCTTCTTGACTTTTTAATCCTAAAAGTACCTAGCGAACATCTCAGAAACATCTCTGGTAACCCTTAGCTACTTTCTGGATAACTGTCGTCGACATTTCCTGCAGGTTAGCTAAACACTCCGCCTGTGCTCCGGACCGTTCTTCACAACATTAGGAAAGGGAATGATGCAGTGATGTGTCGGTCGCTAAAGACAGCTCTCGGAGCCGGCTCCTTGTTGGATTAACCAGAGTGAGTGACACACACACCGCACCTGCGGTCTCCTGAGCAGCTAAAAACAGCTAAATGTGCGCGTGCGGCGTGCTAAACACACGTGCAGCTTGCCAGATTGCTGTGAGACCGGGGTGGGGGGGTGGGGGGTGCAGCTGTGGTCGGGACAATTATTACATTAACTGATGGGCCTGTAAATAAATAGTTTATAAATAAGGTAGAAATAAGTTCCTCACGCTGATAACTAATCTCTCTGAGGACACAGTGCTACAGCACCTTGACACGACTCAATAAATGTTATGTAACATTTTGTGAACATCAATTTATTTGCATTTATTTGTTATAAATGCCACTGTATAATTCTTGCTGTCAGTATTTGCAAGATATTGGTATTTGGGTCTGTACTGGTTAGACTTACATGAGTTAAACCAAGGTCTATAGCCCTTGGGTCATAGACTATGAGCTATAAGTATATTGGTCTTTTTATACTGGGAATCAGGAGTTCTTTTAGTGATCATCTTGTTTCTTATTTTTGTCCTGATTGTGCCCTGAGCAGTTTTATGACTGAATAAAAACAAATAAAATCAACATAAATTGAAAAATCGTCCTAAATAATCGTGATCTCAATTTCAGTCACCATAATCGTGATTATTATTTTTGCCATAATCGAGCAGCCCTATCTAGATACCCAGCTCACATGTTGGAGGGGACTTTTTATCCCTTTTACAAAGCCAGGTAACGTCTGCGTATGGAACTTCAATCAGCCAAAAAGAGCACACGTCACCCCTCTGTTCATTGAGCTCCACTGGCTACCACTAGCAGCACGCATCAAATTCAAATTGCTAACACTAGCATACAAAGTCCGAAATGGTACGGCTCCCATCTACCTGAATCCTCTTGCAAAGGCTTACGTCTCGGCCCGGCCGCTCCGGTCATCACAGGGTCGTCGGCTAGCAGTGCCTACACCACGCTCAGGACAATCCAGACTCTTCTCATGCATTGTTCCACAAATGTGGAATGACCTTCCAAGCACTTCCAGAACAGCGGCTTCCTTTTCAATTTTCATGAAACTCCTGAAGACCCTGCTCTTCAGAGAGCATCTTCTAAACTAGCACCTTCCCTGCACCCATCCCCCCTCTACTGTCCACTCCTTTGTTCCCTCCTCTCCATGATTGATGTCAAGTTGTTGTTGTTATTGTTGTTAGCCTCAAGGGCAACATGCCGATTATCACTTGTAAGTCGCCTTGGACAAAAGCGTCTGCTAAATGCATAAACATAAACTAGGATTGGGACAATATTACATGTAACTTGTACCAAGCTTTGTAACCTGTAACATGTTTTGTAACTGTAAATTTCATGTTGTAGCATGTAATTCTCGTTTTGTAACACGTAACTTCCATTTTGTAACTTGTAATTCTTGTTTTATAACACGTAACATTTAGTACGTAACATTAAACTTTCATTTTGTAACTTGTAATTCTTGTTTTATAACACGTAACATTTAGTACGTAACATTAAACTTTCATTTTGTAACTTGTAATTCTTGTTTTATAACACGTAACACTTAGTACGTAACATTAAACTTTCATTTTGTAACTTGCAGAAAACAATCAATGTACAAGTTTCAATCACAAATCTCAAAACACGCATCTCAGTCTACAAGTACAAAACATTTTGTCCCAATCCTAGCTTCCTTCCCAATGAACCAATGACAGGCTTTGTCTGACCAGCCAATCATGAGTCTTGGATTCTTTTTCGTAGACAATTCCTGTTGGAAGCAAGCTAGAATTGGGACAAAATGTTTTATACTAGTAGACTTGAGTTTTGTAACTGTAGACTGAGATTTGTGTTTTCAAACTAGTGATTTGAAACCTGTACATTGATTTTTTTCTGCAAGTTACAAAATAAAAGTTTCATGTTACAAAATGAGAATTGCATGCTTCAAAACTAAAGTTGCCTGTTACAAAATGAACATAGCATGTTAAAAAAACATGAATTAGATGCTACAAAAGTCACAGTTACAAACTTGGTACAAGTGTACCGTAAATCCTCTAATATTAGCCTATATTTAATTAACTGCTGGGTATCATATTTTGGCCGGTGTCGGAGGTGAATAATGGCCGTTTTTTTATTGTGGCCGGGTGGAATGTGGTAACAAGTAAGTACGGGGGTGGTTGTGTCATCCGTCTCACTTTTGATTTGCCAGTGATAGACCGCGAGGGTAACTTTAACCGTGCGGAGACGAAGAGGAGGCGAAAATTTGATATCAAGTTCAAAGAGAACGTGCTGATTATGCTGCAGAACACTCTGGGGAGCAGTAGCAGGGGTTGTATGAACTAGTCACTAGTCAACTTCACCGCTCTATAGTGACTTTTTATGCCTGTCATCGACTAGTCGCTGTCACGTGATAATGACCGGCAAGATCCAGTCCACGGAAAAGACAGCAGCCTGCTGTCAGCAGGTGACAAGCTCCTGCGCGTCGGGAGGCAACGCGCTGAGCCAGAGCGTCGGTACTGACACCCGCCGTAAAACAGACATTTAACCAATTTGTGAACTTTACCCTCTTGCAATTTAACCTTCCCCTCACCCCCATCCTAACCTTAACCAGCATGCGCATGCAAAGCTCTGATTGTTGACACGCTCCAGACATCTGCGTCCTGAGCACGGCCACAGTAACATTATCAAATCAGGTGTCGCCACCTCAAAAACTAATTTAACACGCGATTGTTCATGTCGGCTCATTTCCTTTTATGTTTTCTGTCTTTTATTC